GGCTATTTAAGAAACACTTTTTTTATACTGCGAAGGGCACTAAAAGCCATCAGTAGGGCCAGTGAGCTGTCGCTAAACCAATTCGTTAATACTCCTTTAGACAGATATATGGACTCCTGTAAGAAATTAGCAAACATTATCCTGTCAAACTCTCAGCATCCTCCCCATACACAACTCTCTCTCGCCTTGTGTCTCATCCAGTAGAACTAGAAGCAACTATAGAAGATTGTATGCTCCGATGACTAAGTACAAAAACTCTACAATACCTTAATTAGCACACATTTTATGTAATAGGAAAAGTGTAAGACAGGAAATTACGAACTTACTGTGGAAATCTAAGTAAAAGGCCCTGTTTTTATTTTTCACTGTTATATTGTTTTTTAAATATTTTCACTTAATTTAGTTTAATATTCATATTTTTATTGAACAATATTACCAATGTAAATACCTTGTTCGGAATAAAGCTATTATTATTTTGACAAGTTGATCACGGATTGATATCATATAGCGAACCATTGAAAACCAGAGAGTACTGAACAGCTGTTTCAGTTTGGGAATCATTGTTAGTACACACCCACAGCAACGTTTCGGACCCAGAACCTTCAGGTTACAAGGCAAGCTAGCTCACATACCATTCAGCCATTGGTACCCGATTCAATGACCTCCCCACGAATTCTAACTTCTACCAATTTGTGATTTATTTTATTCTATTTATTTTTGATTACAGCTTGATTCCACACCGTATTTTTGGTACAAGTATGGAATTTTCAGCGTGGATATCGGTAGCCTAAAATTCGCAGGCCGACCATAGATATCAGGTGTGCGTCGGCGTGGGCTCAAACCCCGGACCATGTGCATGATCGGCGAGAGTCCTAACCACTGTGCCACCGACGCGTGACCACCAACCACTGTCATCGGTGGGAAATCCATGTTCACACTTGACTGGATGGACCTCACTGGTCACGACTTCTCACTAGAACTCCAGGAAACTCCATCCTGTAGCAAGTCACCAGGGAGCATCAGAATAAATTTCAATGGTTGGTTTGTAAGGATTAGATTTGTTTTTACGAGTTTGACCACGGATTGGTATTATTTCGAGAACCATTGAAAATCATGGAGTACTGGACAGTCAGCTGTTTCGTCCTAGTTTGGGAATGATCAGCAGTACCCAATCTAGGATAAAACAGCCATCCAGTACTCCTTGGTTTTCAATGGTGCTCTAAATGATAACAATCCGTGGTCAAACTCATAAAAACAAATCTAATTCTTACAAACCAACTATTGGTATTATTATTATTAACATTGTATGTTTGACATTGTTTGTTTTGTCACTTGATATTTAACTATGGTTATATTCGTAAACATTTTAATCGCATTTTAAGTATTCACACCTTTCCTCGCAAGATATAGTTTCTCAAAAATCAGCTAGATAGTAAATTTGTTCAAGAGAATCTCTTCTTTAAATAATGTCTTCCAGAAATATTGTTACATCCTAACCGCTATACAATACATTTGGTGAGTATCTCTTTGTTTGTCTCCCTTGTACATCCTTCAATTAGTCCCATTTTTCATGACCTTACCATGAGATAATAAAATAAAAATTGCATGATAATATAAACTACTTATTCATATGAGTAGTGGGAAATCATTATTATTTTTTGGATGACGTTCCATTATCATAGCAGTTTTGCAATTCCTTCCCATTCATTGTAGGAAGGTTAGTAGAATTTTCGAGATATCAGGGTGAATAAGTATTAAATCATTCTTATAGGGAATATCTTAAGAAATCAGTAGTATCCTCCCCCATACAAAGAAGGAACCTGTGAAACCCTACCTAGAATTCCCAATAAAACAGAAGTAAAACTGGTATCCTTCCTGGCCACAAACTCATATGGAAACTAATTATGTCGGTTAAAGGATCCTGTAGAACCCAATTAACAAAACAGTATGCTTTATCTAATACCTTGTAATTTTAGTGAAGTCAAATATATAAATCAGAATAGAAGGACCGAACCAATTAGATTAGTGGAGCACAGGAACGCATGAAAATCTAAATTAGTTGACACTAATAGGGTAAGAAATCTAGCAGATAGCTCAGTTGCAGCACTACATGTAGGTACAATAGGATGGGATAAGATAACAGCACCAGAATCTGATATAACAGGGTTGATGGAGCTCTGTTTATCGAATCGACTGAGAATATATGCAGTAGGAATGATTCTATACCTGTTCCGAGTATCTGAAAAATTCTACTATTCTTACGATAAATACGAAGAAATAAAGAGAATTATAAAGGTCAAGTTACGAAGTTGTGCAATAACAATTATATTATTTTGAACAGTTAATTATCTTCGAAACTTTATCATCCAGTAAAGTACATATCTTCATTCATTGTGTGGTATATTCGGTAAACAAATCACTTTAGAATGACAGACTACCTCACTAACCACGTTATACGCATTTATGAATATGCGTCTATTGTTAACAAACATGATTACATGACTAATTTGACAGTTAAATACCAAAGTAAATTATGTTGAGTAACAATCAACTCTCCATGACTGTAGTGACTCGACGTTTTCAAAAGACATTAATGTAATCTGATAACACTTATTCCTTAACTGATGTAAATATATATAGAACCCGAAGAAGAAGAAATTATCGAAAACAATAATCTTCTGTGTTATCAGGTAGTTGAAGGTAGTTGGTAGAAAATCCTGCAACGAGATTCTATGCTCGTTAGTACTCGTCAGCTAGATGTATCTACACTCTTGACAGAACCAACCTTACATCCCCCTCCGCAACCTGTTTGTTCGATTCAAATCTGCACCACTAAGTGTTGTAGTCAAAAGCCTTACTACTAAGGTATTTGCAATAACCTATGACCTTTTGCAGGATTGTAGTGGATACGTTGATTAGTCACTAGAGTGTAATCATGGTTATATGTCTAATATTTGGTTGTGGTGTTGACGAATAGAAACTTTATGATATTATCGATACAGTGTTTTTCAGACCGCTGGCACAGTGGTTAGAACGTTCGCCGACTATGGACATGGTCCGGGGTTCGATCCCCGGCCGACGCACTCTTGAACCTCGCTAAGCCAGAAATAACGCTGGCAAAGAGGAGGCCAGCAACTCCATCCTGTAAAAATAAACACTGCTACAGAAACTTCAAGTCACTAGCTTGAGGCCCTATGTTCCAATGGGAACGTGAAGGAAAAAAGAAAAGTTTTCAGACCTCAAGTTTTAAAACATTCCCAGTATTCAAGGCCGAAATCAGTGTCAGCTGGCATAAAAAATAATCGAGTCTTACTAGTTTATTACAACCCAAATAAATATAAGGGAAGAATAATTTACCAACCAGACTGAGTTCTTCATCAAAAATACCAATAAATAATAAGCTCAACCCTGAATAGGCTGTCTAGTATGACACTGAACAGCCAGAGATAAAAAGTCAACAGAAAGATTCGCTGAGGTACCTTCTTGTAAGAATTAAATTAACTTCAGAGTAGATTCCGTCACCAACCGACAGACTATTAACAAAATAGCTGAAGACCAGGGAGCACTGGACATCTATTTCGTCCTAGTTTGAAATCGCTCATCACGTATAAATTGACAGAAATGCAAATCCACAGGTCAATGGATTTTTAATCCTGTGACTGAACAGTCAATGGGATCTCCGGGTAACCTGAAGGATTTGGTTCCATCCCTGATGAGACTGTGGGTGGGCATTACTGAAGAGTCACCCTCTGACATTCAATGATTCTCTTAATAACCTATCAGTTTGGTCACAAAGCCTATCCTGGGGTAATTAGTAACAATAATAATTTGCATTATTCCAAAACAGTACTTGTGATACAGAATTTCAATACAGTATTGCATCCAGTTTGTACATTAACAATAAAAAATTTTTACATAGATTATGAGTAACCTCAGCTAATTTTGACAATTACATATTAGCAAATCGGTAGCAAAGCCAAAAGTGAACAAAGTGTTTGAAGGTGTTAGAAAAGTAGATACTACTGGCATATTTACTGGAGTAAGCGTTAACAAAAAGGTACAGATATACAGAATGTGAAAGAACGAAGAAGAATGTTATAAGTAGAGTTTGTAAGGAAGACAGAAATAAAACAGCACATAACAACAAAAAAAGAGAAGAGGTAAAGAAAGAAAGAAAACGTTGTACCTATAAATGATATGAGTTGGAAAGACGAGATCCAGTTGTTCTACCAACTATTTAATAAGTTACAGGTATCACGCCTAATGCTTCCTTTAATGCACAGAACACAAGTTAAGTAGGCCATAGTTGAGTTTTTGTACTTTCCAGTGCGAGCATATACTTTTCTATATAGGCTTCTGGTCTTGCCTGATGAGATACAAGGAGAGAGTTGTGGATGAAGAGGGTGATGTCAGTTATATAGACTGGATTTAGCCCATTTTTCTCATGAGTCCAAACGCCTGTTGACACAAGAAATGTGCCACATAACCAGCTTGTTATGTGGCACATTTCTTACCCTGCTGACAACGTTTTAACATCCTGTGTAATAAGGTTTAGTCTTTCTTCAGTAGGCCTGGAAAAACTAAGGGGAAACAATAGAGAATAATAGGCACGATGCAAGAGTTAACGAATCCTGGGAGTAAGGGTTGGGTTATTCCAGAATGTGTTAGCTTCTTGATGTAGAAGATGAGACGGAATATTTTCTTAGAAATCATCAAGGTATCAGATGACCCTAAGAATAAACAGGCAGTATTCTAAGATGGATCGGAGACATACTTTGTATAATAAAACCGTAGTTTCACAACAAAAGAAATTGCGAGTTATGCATCCTAGGAGCCTTCGCGTTCTACCTCTAGCATAATCAGTTTGTTCAGAGAACGTTAAATTACTAGGTTATCTGATACCGAGATATACAACTCTATACTATGGCTCTATACTACGACTCTATTATACTACTGAAATATAATAACATTAAAAATTATTAAATAAACGGTTCACTTACTAACATGCAGCTGTTTCCAGTACACTGATATATACGCATTTTATAGCATTATAACAATAAGTTTCATACTGTCCAGTACAATTCTCATATGGTCGTCCATTGAATTTGTTCAATCCAAATGGTATTACCAGAGTTTCTTCCACTGTCAACGAGATAGCTCGAATATTTAGTGACGGTTTCATTGAATGTGAATAGATATCTGTTTGTCTTATGTCTGCTGTGGTAGTAGTAGTAGTAGTGAATGTTGGCAGCGGTGACGACGATTGTGGTGGTGGTGGTGGTGTGTTCTCCGGTAGTTCCTCAGCTTTAACAGCTACCAGATCAGATGTAGGCATGGCATCACTGAAGGCAGTTGGTATATCCGTTGTATAGGCAGCGGATTCGAACAAAGGAAGTGGTAATGTCTCACCCTTTGCGTCTGCTATCGCTCCTTTTTCTTCTTTTTCTACTTCTGATTCGCCCGATGAAGACGATGGTGATAAGGAGATACTGTTTGCCCCATCTGTGACTATTGTACCACTGACTTCATCTCTTTTTAATTCATGATCAGCTGAAATACTGGGAACTTTGTCAGCAATATTCGTTGAAGATTCCATTTCATCAAGTTGACCGACGCCTTCTGGATCACTGTTGACATCATCTTCATGATTCTGTAAGAATGGATTCTCTTCTCCACTCATTTGGGCGAACAAATTTGGTTGTGGAGTAGACACAGGCAATGGTGAAATATTAATACTGCTGTCATTCCTAATAATCGGATTAAACATATCAGTAGTCGTAGCCATCTTAGTAACAGTGGGTACAGTCACTGTTTGACTTTTAGTATGTTTAGATAAAACACCATTAACCAAATCTTGACTAAATCTAGCTACATCAATTTTATGGGTATTATCAAATTTTATTGATTTCTGTCGACTATCATTATTATTCGTCCAACTGGCAAAGTGATTATTGTCAGCCTTATCGATATCACCGTCATCATGAGCATTTTCACTATGTTTTTTCAAGATATTCAACTTGTGTAATTCATTCGGTAGCCTCAAAGCGTCGTCATCATGTTCATCCCCATGATCACTAGGATGTATTAGCAAGGCATCTGGAATTGCTGGATCATCATGTAATATTTCAACTGTTGAATCATTTAAATCAAAGGCCTTAGCTGCTGCCTGAGCCACACCCTCTGCTGGTGACGACTGTGGTGGTGTTAAGGATTTATCTAATGAAGATCTTCGGAATCGTTTCAAGTGTAGCTCATCACCTGCATGATTGCCTTCTAAATGTACTGTATTCCTAAGTAGATGAGCTTTTAACTGAGTTGTAAATAGTTGGATTTTATAAATACATGCATCTGTATAACAGTTATACCTTGATCGGATATCGCGTTCTTCTTTAACTAATTGTAACAAACGTTTTAACCAATCCGAACGTGTACGTATTACATTCATATATTTATTCACTGTACGTTGAACAATCATTTCAATAAATGTAAATGTTGTCCCACTTCTTTCATTATTATTATCGTCATTATTTCTCTCAGTATTTGGAAATCTATGATACATTCCAATCATATTTGATAAGGATTTTAATAAATCATCATCGTTGATATTATTAATATCATTATTGTCAGTATTTACTTTATTCGCATTGTTTAAATGATCTGTTAATATGTCGAGTCCATTATGTTCAATATGTTCAATATCACTAATCCGATTGTTATGGTCATTATTATTATTATTGTTATTGTCCAGTGAGCTTTCAGCTTCTTTTTTCATTCGAATTAACTCTGGATTTAAAACTGACGAATCAATATTTACTGATTGTTTCAATGCATTATTTATCTCATTATTATTATTATTAGTATTGTCACTATGAGATTGAACATTGAATATTGAGCATAAGATTAGCAAAATACAAATTAAATATTCTTCTGAACATGTTGTTTGTGCGCAACATTTAAAATATATCATGTTATATTATAATTATTTTTCAGTTAAAATAGTAAGAATAAAGTTGAAAAATAACTCCACATGTGTACATATATAAGAAATAAAATAAATATTATTTATCCGTTTATATTAATCTTCCTTCTAAATCTAAATTGATGTAAAAACAGAAAGAGGAATGAAGAGAAATGAAGTTTCACAATTTTTCTGACAATCCTTTTCCTTTTTTCTTCTTTTTTACTGGTAAATTAAACTACCATCCATTCATTATTAGTAGATTCTGTTTACAATAGATAAATTCGAAAAGTGATATGCAATTGATTTAAATTTTAAACATTGGCGCGAAAACACTTTTTTGTTTTAACAAACTTATACTGTTTTATATGTAGCAAAATTATGTTTGTTTCACAATTATGCTATGTGATTAATATTATCCTACCATTTATTTCTTTGTTTATGTTGATTCTTTGCGATTTATATGAAAATGTATCCACAGATTACATTAGTAGTCTTTATTACTTCTGTTATTATTATTATTAATATTTATGCCCATGTGTGCAATCCTACATGTCTGTGTACACTACTCCCAAAGTGAACTGTGAATAGCCAATACCTATTGAAACATGAATGTAGGCGATTATGTGATTATGTGCTGTGTATGTCTGTGAATAAAATATACACAAAGAGGAGAAAGAGAGCGAGAGAGATGAACATTTGTTGGCATTTGTGTGTCCGTATTTAGAATAATTTTGTAAAGTGTAAAAAGCCGCCAACCATGTAGGTTTTTTTGATTATGTCTACATTGAAATGCACGCTGAAGTATAATTTCAACAAAGGTAAATGAAATAATAATAATAACAATTGTTTATTGGCGATTGGATAAATGAAGACTAATGTTTACAAGAAAAGCCATCGGTGAGACAGAATTATTAACAAAGAACATTGTCTATTGAATGTTCTAGTGTATAAAACTGCATACTACTGATTACCCGAGATGAGTAGTTGTACACCACTCACATTAACCAGGAGTACTTGCTACGTAGACTGAAGTGATCTAACCACCAGATGGTATTTTCTCTCGTCTGTAGCCGGGCTCATCAGTGGTGTACCTGGTTGAGTGGCATACTACTACTCGTTTCAGTCAATCAGTAGTATATGGTTTCATGAAAATATGACTGATTTCTTCACTACTATTTCTGGTATCAAGTGGATCGGTCATATGCTGTGATCTGAATAATTTAGGTTTCTGAAGGAAACTGTGGTAAAATTTCACTTCGAACTGTGTAAATTACCAATTCAAGGTTTCTCTGTGAATTCAGTCACCAGAAGATTTTATCCTATTTATTAAATGTATGAGTGCAATGGTTCGTCGGTGGTACAGCGGTAGAGTGCTCAAGGTTCGATCCCCCGTCAACTCACTCCTCTTCCTCTAATAAGACTGTTAAAGAGGGAAGGTTAAACATGAAGCTGAAAACCTCATCCTGTAAAAATAAATACCACTGCTACCAAAACTTCAAACCTCTAGTTCAAAGGTTTCCCACTGGGAACGTAAAGGAATTTTAAAAAATGAGCGTAATGAGTAATGGTTTGTTCAAAAGTAGTATATGCGTCTTTTCATCTCAAGGCTAGTGTTATCATTATTATCATGCCTTTAGACTCCAAGTGGAACATAATACTTCAGCAGAATATTTGTATTTCATTTTGTTCTCTGCAGTCCTCGTCAGCTGGCGCGATGATTACCAATAAGCCTTCCATGCCTCTACACACGGTTTCCTCGATGTCAACCTCGGAATCACTCCCAACTCGTCGTTTCCCGTTACGGTCTCAATCAAGCGATGGCCTGGTACACGATTTCACTCATCCGTCTCATCCGTATATGTCCAATCCATCTCCATCTCTTTCCGCATATTTGTTAGGTGGAAGATTGTTGGTTAGTTCGCTTCCAGAAGTCTGTGTCGCTTATCCTTTCTGGCTGACCAGATGTTTGTTCTTCAGCATCGGAAAAAGGCAGCTTTTCTTCAGGTGAAACTAATTCAAATAACTTTTAAGTAAAAATATTTCAGATTTTGAATTTCATACGGATTTAGGTTAATTTCAGTCATTCGACTCAGTCACGAAACAAAGCATTAGTCAGAGAATAATTTGGGATTTTTCAGAAATGCTCACGAATTCTTCCCCTGGTGACTGAATCAAGGAATTTCAGGTTACGAGGCGAGCTCGTTGACTATCTAGCCCCTGCAGTGGAATCAAATGACTTATCAATTCTCATGTGATGAGATATCTCAGACGAGGACGAAATCTATGTTCAGTTTTGTCTGGTTTTTTGAGTGGTTCTATAATTTATGTGTCAGTTCGTAATGAAATCTACCCTGAAATCAATCCAATGTGTAGGAAACCAACATTCACAAGTAATACTCAATGTTGATTACAAACCAAATATAATTAAGAATTGGCGAATAAAAGTAAGTTATATTATTATTATTTCCTTTAATTCCTAGAGGAACATAGGGCGTCAGCCGCATGTCTCCATTGCGTTCTGTTGTTCGCCAACGTTTTCACCTAGCTCCACATCTGCCCACATGTTTTCATCTCCCGTTCACATGACCTTCTCATGTCACCCTCACACTGATGACCAACTCGCTGATTCCCATTCGGGTTCTACGCGAGTGATGGTCTGGTGTAGGATGTCACTTGACGGTTTTCTCAGAGTATAGCCACCAATCCACACCCATTTCTTCCTGCAGATTTGTTTCAAAGTTGGTTCCTGGTGGGTTGGTTCATTCATTGCCAGAGATCCCTGTTGCTGATCTTTTCTGACTAGCCGTCTGATATTAAGTATTGAGAGAAGACAACTGTTGACGAAAGTCTGTATTTTGTGCCCTACGTGACGTGCCAATTCTCTGATCCGTATAGTAAGTAGCACTGACTTCAAATTGGAGTTGAAAATCCGGATCCTGCGTCGATCGCACAGTGGTTAGGACTCTCACCGACCATGCACATGGTCCGAGGTTCGATCCCCTGCCGACACACACCTGATATCTATGGTCGGCCTGCTAAATTTGGGCTACCGATATCACATGCTGAAAATTCCATACTTTTACGAAAAATACGTTGTGTAATCAAGCTATAATCAAAAATTTTAAAAAATTTTCATGCTGAGTGCTGTTGACCTCCACACAGACATGAGAGCCATGAAAGCTTGCCTTGCTTTCCCGATCCTCGCTGCTTTGATATCCTCACCAGTTGTGTCTGCCTGTAATTGAAACGATGCTTCCCAGGTTGGTAGGCAAAGGAGGTTGTTTCTTTCAGAATTCTCCCATTTATGCTGATTGTCGTCTGTTGTTGTTGCTATTGCTGTTGGCCAGGAATCTTCATCACCTCTGTCTTCTCTTTGTTCACCTAAAGAGTTATAAGAATTCTTGAAATATTTTTGAAAGATAATTCAGTAAGCGATTGTTCTGACTGTTTCGGACCAGTCTGTCTTCTATCTTTCCTCACGTGGGCTACGCGGGACAACAGTGACTGGAAATAAGTATTGGTATTTGGTCTTCAGACGAGTCACGTATTGCCTTCTCGTATCAAATCATAGTCGCGTTATTATTATTATTATTATTATTATTATATCCAAATTCACGATGTTATCTAACCCAAATATTTGTAACCTATTGGTTCATTTCAAGATGACAGTGATGCATCTTCCGCTGAAGAAAAATTTATAAACTTACTGAAATCATTGATACTGACTTACACTGTCAGTAACAATACCACTTTAAATACGACTAAGCAGGGAATTAGGATTACACAACTAGATATTAGCAAAGAAAATAGCCTGTAAGTGAAAATAAAACTTATGTTGAAATATGCTTTCGAAGTGTCCTTATTCTTAAAGTAACAACTTAGTTTGATAATTTTAAAAAAGCCAACATAAGCTCCTTGCTATTGTCTTATGAACTCTGTCAACGAATCAAGCAAGAACTTATCGTCCGACAGATATACTGAAGATAGTGGAGATGGATTAGGCGTACACCGAAAAGATGATAAGCCAGTTGAGTGACATCACACAAATGGCAGACCCTCAAACAGAACCTGAATGAGAAACGGCTAGTCGAATGTCATTTTTAAGGTGACATAGATGAGATGGTGTCACGAAGAAACGAGAGCTTATGGACAACCATGAAGCAAGCTAAAACAGATAGCAGAGAACAAAGTGAAACGGAAATGTATTATTTTAGTCACATGTTCCACCTGGGACACAAAGGAATAACAATAATTGTCTTATGTTTTAAATTCACTCCCTTTTGCATCATCAGTGATGCAAGAGATTTTGTCCGCAGCTACTGAAGTCATGAGAATGTTTGAAAGGAGTTGTTAAACATTTTAACACAGTTGGGTAAAAATCACGTTGCTTAATATGCTTATTTCAATATCCAGCCATATTATCGCCCTCTCATCGCTGATTGGCTCATTGACAAATGACTTTGACTATTGGCCTTGCAGGCTATAGTTTTTTTCAGCGTACCTTAGTGTCATATATACACTTTTATCGCAGCTTATTTTCAACTGTTGAGACTACAGTAGATCTTCTAACACTAGTCGGTACATGAATTATCGAAATATGAAACATATACTATCTTGAATGTTTGAGAAATAAGCAAACTTCGTGGGCAATTTATGTTTGATGCCACACAAACTCGAAGATCTACAGGAGAAAACCGACAAATTTGCCCAGAAGAGGCTGACAGCGAAGACAAGACTTCGAGTAAACGTATAAAAGCTTTGATTAAGAAGATACCCAATCAAGAATAACAACAAGTACCAATCACTGACAACAGAAGAAATTTGAAAGCGATCACATCTTTCACTTATTTGGATAGCAACGTTTCAACTACATGAAGCCCGATTGAAGATTTTTTATTACAGCTTGATTCCACACAGTATTTTTGGTACAACTATGGAAATTTCAGCATGTGATATTGGTAACCCAAATTTAGCAGGCGATCATTGATGTCAGGTATGCATCGGCCGGGGATCGAACCCCGAACCATGAATATGGTCGGCGAGCGTCCTAACCACTGACGCACTTGTCAAAATAAGAATCCGAAAGGCAAAAAATACCTTCATTTATCTGAAATCAAAGTGGAAATCTACCTCACTTAACATAAAGAACAAGATTCAGATTTTTAGCCTGAATGGGAAACGAGTAGTTGGGAGCTACTCCTAGAGGGACGTGCAGAAGATTGTGCGTGTGGAGGAATTTAGCTAAGCTTATCAGTTCACTAGAATATTTAGCTAAAATCCATTGAGTTTTTTGAACTAGTTTGGCTGTGTGCGCCGAGTTTATCCTCATACACAGCTAGTGAGCTTGACTTCAAACAAATATAATAGCTATTCCGTGCTTAGGTCCTTTCGATCTGATTGCCTATCGCCAATGACTGACAACTGCTCATATCAATCTGTAATAATCTCACCTTTCTACTTTTTGATTTTTTGTCGATTCAAAACATGAGATGACCATTATCTAATGTCGTTAGCGAATACATTCCAACATTTCCAGGAAACTTCATCCTAAGGTGCTTATCCCCAATCTAACCGACCAATGAAAAAAGTAATCCTCTGAAACAACAATGAAAAACATTTTTAAATTCACTGTCGAAATCCAGAAATCTTTTAAAAACCAACTTAGCCGTTTCACTCAACATTATGTGAACGCAGACAGCCAAAATAATATAAAACCAGTTTCAATTATAAGATAGATTATATTGAAAAAGACACCCTCTTCGTCTTTTTTCAACTGTGAAAACGCGATACACATTCTCTAGGGTTTTATTATACAAAGTAGGTGTCTGGCCTATTTTAGAATACTGCCCGTTTATTCTTAGCGGGCTGCGACAGAATGATAAGCTTAAATTAGAGGGAGTGCAACAGCAATTTATCTCAAAAACTCTTGGTTTACAAAGTGGTCTGGAATACTCTGAGCGTTGCTACAGACTAAGATTAGAACCACTCTGGAAAAGATGTCTTAAGCTAAACCTGCTAAACCTTATCTTTTACTACAAGCTACCTAATCTTCTCTTGCACTCCTCCGAGCCAATAACTAAACCTACCGCTGTCAACAGTTACAATCTTAGAAATCATCACAACCTAGCTGCTATAGAGCATTATCAGACTTACATGAGGTACAACTTCTTCTTAAATAAGTTTTCAGTCATTTGGAATAGACTACCAGCTAATGTGAGTGATGCACACACACTTCCAATGTTCATCTCCTCAGTCAACAGACTGCTCAAAGATAGCAGTGCACTTCTGTGTCTGACTCTTACACCCTCTTTTTCACCCTACATAGATATTTTAAGTTCATTAAACATGTAGTTACAACAAACTACAATTATAAATTTTAATATTATTGGAACTAGATGATAAACATTTATGCACAGGACAGTAATACTAGTTCACACATAATATAAAAGTTAGCATAACGGGACTAGTTAGTTAGTGTACCAAAATAACCATAGTTACTAAACAGAGTATATATGTATATATATTTATTAATCACTCCTTAAAGAGTACTCTTGCTTTCTTTTGCGTTGCTGTTGTTTGTCTTCTTTTTTCCCTCACCATTTTAGCTTCCATATGACTTTTTGAAAGAGAATGAAGTATGTGGATATTTGACCATTAACAATGACAAATGATCTGCAAACATTATTGGTCCCATATCTTACAATTCCTTCGTGAATTACGTAGTACCTTCCCCACGACGCAACCAGGATTACAGTTGTGGAATATACTCTTATACCAATGGAAAAGTATTAATTTATAATACTTCACGATTGTAATATATAACAACTGATCGTGTCTGTAAAAATAGCTTTCTTTTCTTGGAAACACCCATGTATAAGAAAATATATACTATCATTATTATTAGTCTGCATTGAGTACAATTCACTTGTGATGTTACGGTGAAAATGCTGACAAAATTATACAAGTATATCACTTATTTTAAATTATTACCCAATTTGTATATAAATCAAGAATAAGACTCGATGTCGTACACTTCAAAGTTATATGTGGGAATTACTTCAAGCTTTATTTTTTCCCCAAGAGTTTGAAATCCATCCGAAATATACTTGGGATTTTTTTGTTAATGCGAAGACTATATTCCTATATTTCTTGATGTGCTCCATCGAATGACTAGTTATCATATTGTTCCCACAAACCAAAGACAAAAACATCAGCCACCGTGTAATTTAACCATAAACCAAATTCATGAAATTTAAATAATACTTATCCATGCCTGTACAATTGGTGTGTCCTACATAGGTAGGAATAAATATGTTTCTTGACTAAATTAAAATTAAATTATTAAATATGCTTACTAATCGTATATGTAATTTATCATATCGATGATGCCTGTAAACTGGCGTCGCTCATGTACAAAATTGAGAATATATTATTATTATTATATCAATGCACATAGGCAACTATGGATACTAATTTGTCTGGAAAAATGTAAGCAGAATCTTAAGTAGTGGGAACATGAAAAATTCAAGAGAATTCCTAGACGTTCGGTGTCCAAATCAATACACGAGATTTACCAACTAACAAAAAAATAATTAGCATGATCAAACGATCAAATATCAAGTCAATCGGATAATCCTTACCCATACAGATGAATCCCACGACAACAAAGCCTCCTGAGCCAACTAACCACAATCAAAGTTATCACACAGGATGGCTATTTCATTTATGAAGAATTCTGCAAGCTCATTTTATTTTGAAGTTAGCAGTGAATATGAAGGACTGGCTATTAAATCCAGTTCAGTGAACACAAGACAGTCAAAAAACAACTTCACGATTAAGGATACTTAAAACTTAAGGAACTGATCGTTTTTACTTCTCTAATTTAATTAATTCCAGAAAAATATTATTAAAATTATAAAATGTAACATTTACTGGTAATTTCAAACAAAAAATTTTGTTTTAATGATAAATGAGAATCAGTAGACTGATATGATTCAATGAATTTCAAGGTCTTTATTCTGACTGGCTAACTTACAATTGATTTTATTTTCGTAGACATTAAGGTTATTATTGTATGACTCACAGGTTGAAAGATAAAATTCAACTGTAGATTTCTGACAACTTTTATGTAACCAGGAGAAACTTGTGCTTTAAAATATTACTATTTTATTTCTTTTAAAGTGATACGAATTATTTGATAATAAAATGAATAAGCAATGATAAATACACCGATTTGAACGAGTGCCATCAGGATACGAGCAAAAAGCAAGTAGTTTTGATAGAATATGCCATATATAGCAACATAAAATCATGGAAGTGCTGCTTCATATTTTTAACTTTGAAGACTGATTCCTAGATATGACTATGAGACAGAATTTACTGCTACAGAGTAGCGAGAACTCTGAAACCAACCAAACAAATATCTCATAATAAAAAAACTTATTTACGGAATCATCAGCAGTACGCGCCCACTGGGGTTCGAATCCAAGACCTTCCGGTTACAAGGCAAGCTAGCTCGTATACCATTCAGCCACTGGAATCCGATTCAATGGCCAGCCTATGAATTCTAACTTCTACCAATTCGTAATTATGGCGCGACCATCCACCAATGTCGTCGGTGGGAACTCCACGCTCACACTTGACTGGATGGACCTCACTGGTCACGACTTTTCACTAGAACTCCAGGAAACTCCATCCTGTAGCAAGTCACTAGCGGGCATCTGATTAATTTTCAAGAGTTGGTTTGTAAGGATTAGATTTGTTTCTGCGAGCTGAACCACGGATCGATATCAGTTAGAGAACAGCTGTCCAGTACTCCCTGGTTTTCAATGGTTCTCTAGTTGATATCAATAAAAGCGAAATTGTTATGTTATGTTATCAATCCGTGATCAACTCGTCAAAACAAAACTAATCCTTACAAACCAACTACAGCAAACAAAAAACTTCCTTCTTAAACGATTTTTTTAATTCTGTATCAATTATTATATTATTGTTTCCTTTAGTTCCTAGAGGAACATAGTGTTTCAGCCGCACGTCTCCATTGCGTCCGGTTCTCCGCCAACTTTTTCACCTGGATTCACGTCCGCCCACATGTTCTCATCACCTATTCGCATGACCTCCTCTATGTCATCTTCGAACTGACGACTAACTCAAAGCTTTCCATTCGGGTTCAGCACGAATGATGGCCTAGTGTGTGATATCACTTGATAGTTTTCTCAGAGTGTGGCCAATCTACCTCCATTTCTTCCTGCATATTTGCTGCAGAATCAGTTCCTGGTTGGTTCACTTCCAGAGATCCCTATTTCTGATCTATTCTAGTTGGCCATCTGATCTTGAGTATTGAGCAAAGACAGTTGCTGATGAAGCTCTGTAGTTTGTTTGAAGTGCCCATCGTGACACCCCAAGTTTCTGATCCATATAGTAGCAGTGAATTCACATTAGAGTTCATAATCCTCATTTATTTTTCATGCTTAGTGCTGTTGATCTTCACACAAGCTTGAGAGTAATGAAAGCTTGCCTTACTTTCCCGATCTTCACTATGATATCCTTGTCAGTTCCGCCTGTCTGTTGTTGAAACGGTGCTTCCCAGACAGGTAAACGAAATAATTAGTTCCTTCTATGAATTTTGCATAATACAGTAGTAAGAAGATATAATTTATCTGAAACTTTAGTTGTATTTCTGTAATGCATTTGGGACATTTTGATCACACATGAATTTGTCGTACATACTTATAAAAAAGACAGCAGAACATAAAGGATTACGTTTCAAGAGTTAAGAATTTGATTTGTTTCGAGTTTCACCGTGGATTGAATTCAGTTAGGGAACCTTTGAAAATCAGTATGAAGTACTGGACATCTGTTTTGTCCTAGTTTGGCGCTTGTGAGCAGTATGAATCCACCTCCAAAACTGATACCCAGGACATTCCTGTTACAAGGTGAACTCATAGAACATTCATCCACTGGGACCGAACTCAATGGCTAGTCCAGGAATTCCAACTTCTATCAATCCGTGATTTTAACGTGACTACCAGCCGGTTTCATAGGTGAGTGTCTATCGTCACTCCCTACCTGGATGGACCCCATTGATCGTAACATCTCACTAGAAGTCCAGCCAACTTCATCCTGAAGCCAATCACTAGCAAACGTCAGATTAATTTTCAAGAGTCAGTATGCGGGGATATGATTTGTCTCCAATTTGACCAACGATTACAAATTTTATCAATGTAGGTCAAAATGTTTACGGGTCATGATAACAGACAAGAGGTAGGGGAAATGAGGTAAGGAAACAGAGACGGGGTGGAAATATTACTGAGTGGAACAAACCTTGGCATGTAGAAAAAACAGACTGAGCTAAGTATTAAATTCTTTTTCAATTAATTCCTCACCATCGGCTCTACACTAATGTATAGTTTTTACATTAAAATGTTTTACCAATCAAGTGGTTATTTTAACCAATTAGTTTCAGGTATACGGGGGCGGGTGAAACTACGAGGTTAAAGGTCATCAAAACAATTATCTAATAGATATCAGAAACAAGATGTCTAATTCCATATTCGTTTGTTTATTCGATATATCATACAGTGAAACAGTATTATTTACTGATATATCTAATAAACAAACTAATATGGTATTACTTACTACCACAGTGCCCAAGTTTTACACATATATCAACAAGTTTTGAAGGAGGGGTGAAAATTCACTACGGAATTCAAGATAGGTTGATTCTTAGGCATTAGCAACAAGTTGTTACATAATCAAAAGATTTGCAAAATAATGACTAAGAAGAATAGGATGACTCAGAAGAGTTACGTAAAATATAAACAAGTTAATAGAATTAGCTAGAATTGTAAAAATTATAAAAATTAACAAAGTTACAAGCGAAGGGAAAATATCATTTTTAAAAACTTAATACATATTATGCAGTTGGCCATGGCAAAGAAAGGGGTTGTACAAACTACTTTTGAACACATAGATTTGGTTTGTTCAGATGAATTCCGATTGCCTCTGCTGTACCCGTAGAGCATGCGGCGAGAGGTCGGGTGATATATGATAAATAACTTTAAAATCTGTGTTAGAGTCTATTTGATGTCCAGTATCGACGAGATGAGCTAGTGATGAGCTGCGTATAGGTTTATTCGAACCTTCGCGAAACCCAGATGAGAGGTGTTCAGAAATGTAAAACAACCCTATATAAGTATACAGCCAATGATGATGAGGAACTAATTGAAAAGGAATATATTTTTTCGCTTAATCTGTTTTTCTAAATGCGTAAATGGGAATTTGAAAACCTTGGCATGTTCCAAAGTAATAACAAAAGTAATTTCTAAACATATAAAACAGGTATAAGATATTTTATGTCTAAGGCTTTTTTGATGTGGTTGTGTTCTCTGAGCTAGCTGGATAGTTAATTTGCGAAGCTTTCATTGCCCAACTAGGCAACATCTTCAGCGCATCCTTCCATTTGAAGTGAGATTTTGGATTTCTCCACGAGTTTATTAGCCATCTCTCCTGGTGACTTTGGACATGATTGATTGTTTTTGTATGTTTTCACACCTTCTAGGCTACTTGTATTCAAACTGATTGTTTCCATGACTTTAACTTTGACCCTTTGTGTGTGAGATTTCCTTCTTGTCGATTGGTAGATTTGTCTCTGTCAGTGTGTCTATTGATTGACGATTCACTGGAGTACGAGGATTATAAAAATTCCCCAGAATTCTTGGTCTTTCCCCCGTCGAATATTTGAAAGTCGTTCCAGTTGAATTGATGTCTGTGGTTGTGTGTATGCAGTGAAGTGATATGAGGGCGAGAGCGTATGTCATTTCTTTTGACGACTAGTTTGTGTTCGTGGATAGAAAGACTAAGGGGGCGTCCACCTTGGCTAATGTAGTGTTTTTCGCAGTCGTTGCAACTCATTTTGCAGATGATGTTGGTTTTATCTTCTTTCGTTGTTGAGTCTTTTGGTTGACATAGAGCCAGTAGAGTGAAGTGATTTTGTTGATTTGTGTACGAGGTCAATTCCTAAAGGTTTGAAGAGTCTTGCAGTGATTTCTGAGATGCTCTTTATATATTGTAGGGCGATTTTCTTTGTGCTTTCCTTGGGGGCCTATGATTTGATAAGTTGGCTCTGGGGGGCTATTACAAATTCAAGTATATTACTTAAGCTGTTTAATATTATTGTGAATAAAAACACTACTGAAATCCACAATTATGGTCTCTCTCTCTCTCTAGGATGGATTTTGCCATAGACGACGCTGGGGATCTATTTCTGGGGTTAATTGAATCATTTAAAGCAATTAGTTCCCTTTATGAATTTCGACAACACAATAAGAAGACGAAGTTTATCTGAATCAGATGAATTTATTTGTTCATGCAGACATATTAGAATGTGTCCTGCAGTCGTGACACTTGAGAATGGATAGGTCCCTTTCCCATGTGCGTGGAAATTGGTAAACGCAATATGATGGATGTGACACTATTATTGAGATGCTGTAATGATTTGCAGGACAATACAAATCTCAGTTTCTCTAAAAAATTGATTCTAACTGTATAACAGATTCTGCTGAATGCCTCTCTGAGTCTCTGTTTAGTCATAAGACACTCACAGTGGTCACTCATGAACAGTAAAAATACATAAAGATGCTTTGTGAAGCTGATTGGAGTGGTGGAATGACTATCAAAGGATGCTTGTGGTGTAACTCAGTGTATTAGAAGCTGAATTAGCGGCCAAATGGCACCTGATTTTTCTTTATTTTGACGTAAGTTATTGCATTGTAAGATTATGACCACCCACTCATCCACCCACCCACACACACACACACATACACGCAAATCGGATGTTTTTTCTCTGGCTAAAAAGTGTTTATATATACACCTTAGTTAATTGTACTTTATACATTCGTAGATTTTGTTTGTGTGTGGGTTGTGCTGTTGTTGTTGTTGTTTTTATCACG